TGCTGACTTGAGGCTGCGCACTGTCGGCCGTCGGCATCCGGGGTCTCTCTCTCCTCGGCCGTCTCCCCCACCAAACTGGATCTGTCTATACTGCCTTCCTCGCGGCTCTGCTCGGTGTTCGAAGTCAGGCAGCCAAATGAGCTCACAGGGAGGTCGTAATGGCCAGTACGCTCCAGTGTGTCCCCCGCAAGATCTGTACGCTCATCAGTATCTCTTGGCGATCGGTAAAGGGGTCATCAGTAGTGGACATGGAGGCTCTGTATCGGCCTGACACTGCGGTGTTTGGGTCTAGAACCACCACTCAGCCTGTTTTGCCATTGACTTTGAAAAGCCCTGCCGAGGAGCGATGGGGTGAGGTTGATAGACACAGGAAAGGTGGGTTGTTTTTTTTTTTTTTCCTACTTCAAAATCCAAAGCTCTTACTGATACAACTCATTGTATCGATGAACATGTTGAAAGTTGGGGTGCCATAAAGTCACTCGGACGTGGAGTGTCATGTTCCTCTTGAAGACATGGACAGACTCCTGTGTTTTCCTCCGACATTTGAGACAAGACAGGCCGCTCAGCTGGCTGTCGCCACTGGCAGAAACTCCTGAATGAGTGGATACAGGTGGCAAGAACTGTAAAGTGCAAGGGCTTCGTGGTGTCAGACGAGCAAAGCAGAAACCTGTGAAGCAGCAAAAACGAGCAGCATTCAGCGGAAACTGGAGGGTTGAGGCTTGCCGAAGCGCCCGACTCATCAAACTGCAGTCGCCTCTGCTGGTCCCCTGAGACCCCTGGCAGGTCATTTGCCATGTCTGACAGGGAGCAGCACCTTCCTCTGCTCTCCACGGACAGCAGGGAAAGACGGACCCCGGGACCAATCCCTGAAGCCAGAGGAGTCACGACCACTGACCTTCGAAGAGCACCTGGGGATGCTGTACATGTTTAACCACCCACCTGACGATGATGCTGGACACAGAACCTGCTAACGGAGGGGGGTCTGTCCCCAGAATCAGACCGCTGGGCCATCTGGCGTTGCAGCTGACCTGAAAATGCATCCAGTAGATTTCAGGCCCGAGTTACAGCTGGCGTGGGGGAATCTAAGAGACAGGTGGTTCCCTTAACAGCTGTCCATCCAGTTAGGGTGGGCAAGAAAGAAAACCCCGTCCTTGCTGAAACTTCACGAGCCTTTGGGGACCTAATCGGAGCTCCCTGACCTTGAGCCATGATAATTACCATATCGGGACAAATAATGATATTTCTCCGCGTGTTGACATAATCCCTGCGGGTCAGTGAATCTAAGATTTTAAGTGAGCCTATCAGGTGGTAGGTGATTGAAAAACGGGGTCGTCCTCTGAGAGACTGAGTACTCAGGGAAGCAAGTCTTCCAAACACATTCTCACTCCGGAAGTGTACGGACTCAAGTCCCACGGGAGTGGGGGGGCGGGGTGACAAATCGCTGCTTCTCAGGTGACTATTTAAATTTGTAATTCTGTATTTATCCTGCAGATTTTAGGATAACTTAATCAAACACTGTCTTGAGTGAATTGGTCTGCATGCTAAATGAAGCGGCAAGACATTTTTAGCCCAAGAGAACGTAAAGAATAATTTTGACGTTTGGCTTTAAAAATTTGTTTGGCGTGAAATATCTGGACCGTGTAGCCACATGGTGTCGGGGAGAATTTTAGGTAGACCTGGGTTTCATTCCGTGATTTAGAAGTGATGAAAGTAAAATGACGTACGACGGAAGTTAAGTTATTTTCCCGAGTCACTCGGGACCCACCTGTATGCACCCACAAGGAAGAGCCTCGGGGCGACGTTCCCAATTGCCTCGCCACCCCCAGAACCCCCACACTTCTGCAAGTTGTTCATTGCACGAGGGTGCCCAACACACACAAGTAGGGCAGAAATGCAGCCAGGGCTCTGCTTGCCAAGCCATGGGCCATGGCAAGGGGCCGTGCCCACTTGGAGATGGGACACCTTTTTCGAAGGTGCCAGGTTTGCTCGCCAACCCCGGCACTTGTGGAGCTGAGCTGTTGGGCTGGGCGCTGTGAGAGAAGCATGTCCCCAGTGCATTACAACTAGAACTAGAGCTGACCTTGGCATTACCCTAAGAGACCTTAGTTTCAATGGACGTGGAGCAAGAGTTAAGAGCTGTGTACAGTTTGCAAAGAATCAGTAATGGAAATGCCTGATTTCAGCGTATCAGTTGCACAGGCAGAGTGGACCCTGGAGGGAATTGGAAAGAATTAGAGATTTGGGGTACCTTCCCATCTTCCCTTCTATGCATGAGACTCCCTTCTTCATGCTGTTCCCCTCTTCACCCCCCTCATACACTGCTTAGGCATCAGCTTCAGACTAGCCCTTTCTCAGGAAACACACACACACACACACACACACACACACCACCTTCTATTCACTAAGGGCTTTATTGGAGAAGAAAACACGTCAGCCAGATTTATACTAGGATGTAAATAGCTAGGAACAATTAGCCGTTCCCATCCCTGAGGGTACCACTTTAATGCTGAAATGGGAACGGAACTGCGCCTTCCCCGTGGGTTTCAGGCAGTGGGAATGGGTAGGGGTTTTGTCCCGGCGTGTAAGGCAGGACAGGGGTCTTCACTCCTGAGAACTTCTCATGCAGCTCCGAGCTCTGCGGTGGGGCCCAGCATACCAGCCTTCCTCCATTTCCATCCTGTTTGTTCTTTGCTGCTTGTACCTCATCATGGCGTTTAGTTCTCCATTTCCGGGCCCCCCGTCGTCGCACTGTGCTTTTAGGCCAATCTAAGCGCGTCATTCTTAGCCCTGAGCGTGGCCAGACTGGCATTTGATTTCCATCTTTCTTAATCGCCTACTTTCCAGGCAAGCACACTGTTAGAACTTTCACTCTACCCCTAAATTTTCTTTTCATAAGTCTCACACCCCCAAAATCCACCTGCTTGAAAGTATCACATTCCGGCTCTTTTTGAGGCTTGGATTATTGTGGTTGAAGGTCAGAGGTTCCCCCTTGCTGCTTTATCTGGACGCTAACCCCATAAGCCCAGGAGAAGGAAAGGAGAACTTACTGAGAGACTGATTGTTAGAACCTTGTAGGAGACAAAGGTTGTGTCTTTTTCTGCTTTTCTTTCTATATCAAGCCTGGGGAAGCATAGTTGCTATTTTTTCTTTTTTTTTTCCTAGAGTGACTACAATAGGTTACTGGAAGCTGGGACTTTGCTTTCCTGTTTTAAATTATTCCTTGACCTGAAGCAATTTCTATAGCTTTTCTTGGGCTTGTGTTAGGCCAATGAAGCTCAAACTACTTGCTGATTTGATCAGTTCAGTAAAAAATTCTACCATCAGGCACATGGCCAAATGAACTCTGGTGAAAGAAATCCAAATAGCTCAAATGAAAAGTTCTCATAAAAACGGTCAGTCTGTCGATCTGCGATACTTTAAAGAAACTTCGTAATTTTCAGTTGCCTCCCCCACGCCAAAGATCTACTTTAAGGGTTTCTGGTCCTTGGAGGCATGGAGTTTTTTGAATGCCAAAAAGCTACTGTCATACTCTAGTTTGTCCAAAAGGTGAAGCAGTTGCATATTTAATCTCGGTTCCAGCGAAATCAAATATATAACAAGTTTCCAAATTTCTTTCCAAGTGAGGAGGAAGGATCTTCGACGTGTCTAGGAATGCTGTAGGAGCAGCATTGTGCTCTATTTTCCTCCTTTGAAAGAGCTTTTGTTTTGGAAAAATTAGAACACCAGCTTATCATTCTAAAGATGGCTTGTGGTGTCAACTCCCCTCTCTGTAACTCTGCTCTTGGTCTTAGTGACATCGTGCCCTTAAACAGAGCCAGTGTTGATGCCTAAGTGTAGTGTATTTCTCTCCTGCTGCCGGCCATCCTTGGTCTAGGAGTACCTCTCAAAGCTCTCCCTGTCTCTCTGGCTCTGTGCATTTGGATTCTTCAGTAAAGTCGGGGTTAAGTACGTACAATCTTGATGAGAATCTCTCTCCACTTTTTCTCAGCCCAACTAAGCAAAGAGCAGCCCAGATGAGAGGCAGCATCATCTTTCTTTAAATTTTGAAAGTTTTTGTCCACCCCGTTTCTCCAAGCCTGGCCATGCTAAGAAACTGCATGCTAATTAACAAGTCGTTAACCTTTATCTGGTTTAACCCAATACGTTAACCAGTATTTGTAGCTATAGGTTGAAGAAGGGGTCAGCCATCCTTCAGAACACAAACGGAACGGGCTAAGGTTTTGACCCCGTTTTCTTTGGTAGAGGGAGTTGGCCGGGAAGACGATAAATGCTGGCCTCTCCTGGAGGGACGTTCAGCCTGGACTCCCGTCGGCTCTTGGAAATAAGGAATCTAGAGATTGCCAGTCACTGTGCCACATCCACATTTAATACATGGGGCAGGGTGTGCAAATATCTGTTTGGGCAGGTACTCACCTGTATTATAACATAATTGCTAACCGGTTAAAGCAGAGTCTTCATTCTGGCAAACAAACATCATCTCATGTACAGAACTTTGCATTATGTACTGTGCTGGAGATTAAAAAAAAAAAAGAGCATTATCCTAGCCTTTAAGAAGCTTATAATCCAGTTGTCTAAACCATTGAGTTTAGAAAGTGATTTTAAAGTGTGATGTTTCTAGAGATACCCTTTAAGGAAATTATGGCTAATGTATGTTTCTGCTATTGTTGTTGTGATTAAACGCTTCTCACGTAGATGCGACACCACAAGCCCCATTAACAGCTCACCCCCCGCCTCCCACCCTCATTTCTGAAGAGCTGGATTGCAGGTGGTTGGTGCACAGAGTTATGAATTGATCTCCGACGTGGGTAAAGCTAATAAATATGATTTAGGATGAAAGGCACCGTGTAAATGCTTGAGATGTTGTTATTACTGTTCTCATGCACTTTATTATTTTTAAATTGTGCATCCTTTTAAGTAGATTATTTGTTCGCCACAGTCTCCATTATATCTAAGCAAAGCATTCACAGAAATTTCTAAAACCTTTTCATTTCTCTCTGTAGGTTGTTGTTTCGTAACATTTTATACAAGAAAAGCTGCACTTGAGGCCCAGAATGCACTGCACAATATTAAAACTTTACCTGGGGTGAGTCGGTTTACTTTTGTACCAAAATCACTTTATTGCTTGAAAATGGTCCTTTCAACTGAAGGTTCTAGTTATGGGCTCTTAGTGCCAAAAATGACTTTGGTCTTTTGAGGAGTGTGGGCTGACCCCTGCAGCAGCCAAACCAGCTGGCCGGCCCATAAAGGAGCTGGCATTAATGCTGACAGAAAGAGCTCTCAAATAGCGTGTCCCCTGGTTAGAAAATCAGAGTGACCCCACTGGGTCACAGCCGCTGCCAAAGAGTATTGGGTGGGCTAAGATTTTAAAAGGGAGGAAAAAAAGCCCAACACACACAAGGGAAGCAAATGGGAAAGGAAAAGCTTTTACGCACCAGGAGCCCCTTTTCAAATTTAGTCTTTAGATTCTCTCTTGAAAGGACAAAATGTACCCTGTACAGCCATAATATTAAACCTCCTAATGGTTTCTAAACAGTCAACGGCGGTTAACAAAGTCAATGTTTTAATGCCCGATTTGTGGCTTCGTGTTGATAGAGAACAGAAAAATACAAAGCTTATTACCCTTTTTGTTTTCTCTTTCCTTCCCAGTAATATTTGATGATGAATGCAATTCACTAGAAGCGAACTGATGTCGTACGTAGCTACTTCATCAGAATGCATTATTTTTGTGACAATTTTATATAGTGCATGCTGGTATGAATTTTCCTATGCCGTGTAGATATTTTCCCCATTGGCCCAAATATCAATGACAAGTTAATTTAATGTCATAATGATGTGCGTCGGTTATATGAAGAACCTGTGGTAAGCAGTGCAATGATAATGGATTTATTGACAAGAATAGAAGAAAGACAGCATACGTGCCCCCTCATGTTTTCAGGGTATAATTCTTTATGTCATTTAGCCGCTTCTGTAGATGGACACACACTCACATGCGTTTTATGCCCCCATGAGCCCCAGAAAAAGAGCATCTGTTTCATTCACCTCCGATCCATTGAAAATGTTATCATATTCGTAGTGGCAAGATACTCAACAAAAGGTCTTCAGAACGTTAGTTTCTTTTTCACCCAAAAGGAACAAATTGCGAGCCTTGGTCTTGAGTCGTGCCGCTGTGGTTTCCGCTTAGCGTGTGAGCACATCAAAGAGGAGAAGGTTAAGGAAAGCAAGTGTGTGGTATGAGAATTCACCCTCCCCATTTAATATGGCGACTACTTCTTCCTGAAGCTTCCAAGGTGCTGTTTAGTAAGGCAGCTTTTAGTGGGTCTAAGTGTTTTTGGCTCAATGACTTTAAAAAAAAAAAAAAAAAGGTAGCGTTTCAGCTCCATTTTCCATACAAATGGGATTTTCTGATGTAAATTCTAGGAGGTTGCAGTGTTAGGTCACATTATCAAATGAAGTGACCAAATATTTGCTGGCGCAACTAGTGATAGAAAAAAATAATTTTGTTTCCCAGGCTCCTGATCAAACCCAAAGACCACTCTGTATTTTTTCTCTCAAAAAAAAAAATACACTAATTAGCACACAACATCCCTTCTATGTGTGTTTAAGGAAATATTTGAAATGATGAGTTGTTTAGCATTTAGGCTATATTGATGCCAAATCACTTCCCATTTTCAGTTAATGCGAAGCTCGGTTAATGTGAATCCGTCCCCTCCAGCAGAATCACAGCCCCCAACATGCCATCGTCATACGTGGACACGCTCTCAAGAAACCCAGAGTTAACGCGATGAGCGGGCCACGTAGGAAAACACATGAGTGACTGACGAGTGTGCTTCTGTTGGGGACACCTCACTCTGACCCTTTCCTTAGGAAACAAATAGCGTCTTCCGTATTTAAAACAAAAAATGTCGTCTATGTCTTCCTCATCTGAATGATTCCGTGTGCAGAAGTCAGGGTTGTGAGACCCATTATTAAGAGGTTGGGAAAAAAAAATGGTTTACGGATCGTTTTTGGTTTTCCGTTTTTACCCAGTTCAATTTGATAGGCCCAATTACTTGAGTCAGGTTAAATGAGAATTTTTGAGAAGTCGAGGCTGATTTGCAGACTCACAGCCTTCACACCGCGATTAGGCCAATGGCAGCAGAGTTCCACATCTTGCGTTCATGTTTAGCTGTGTCTGATAAACATCACCCTGAACAGCTACCGGGAAAACATGAAAGGGGTTTTCTTTCAGCTGTGCGCTTTCTTGGTGGACAGGAAGAAATGGGACCAGACATGAAAGATTAATGCATGTTCTCAGGGAAAAAAATATTACAGGGTGCCTTGCTGTTTGATTACAAGCCTTGGAATTAGTCAGCATTTCCATAATTCTAAACCAATATACACCTGTTTTCCTACTGTGATGTGAAGGCACAACTTAATTTAACGGAAACCCTGCTGTGCTCAGTTTCTCATTAAATACCAAGCGAGTTCGGTAATTTAAAGTTGTACCACTACTATTTTAACTGGTTGCCTTAATATTATGAAATTAATAAGAAATTAATGATGCACTTTGCCATATGCCTTTAATATCTTTCTGAATAAAAATAAAAGGGATAAAGAAAAATGCATCACCAGCTGACACTTTAAAGCTTTTCTGCTTGTAATCATTCTCCTGTGGATAAAATCCATCAAAAAGGCACTTGCTGCCTTTTTTTTCTAAAGTGTCCAAAACATTCAATTTAAAACAAGATCAAAGAGTGCTGGATGTTTGGGGTTCTCTGGTTTTTCAGTGGTTTTTTTTTTTTTATTTTTTTTCGATTTGCTTTCGTAGTTAGTGTGTTGTATCATATGGAACTTTTATCATGCGACCAAACTTGAATGTTTAGGGATCATCTTTCTTTCTTTCTTGAGGGAAACAAAGAACTTGCTTAACATGAGAGAGGGGAAAACGCCAGTGGGACTCTCCATCGTGCAGTTAACTGCATCCGCCCTTAGATTTTCATGTGGAGACGCCCTGCCTCTCGCGTCACGTTGGATTTCAGAGACCCCTTCCGTGGAGGCCAAGGGGCTAGGGGCAGGGGATCGGGCCATAGTCAGCCGTGCAAGGTCATTGAGGACCCATTTCTCAAGCCTGTCTCTTCCCCCGTGACCGGGTCTCACATCCTCAGAAATGCTCAATGCAAATCCTAGAAATAGATTATTAGAAATAAAGGCAGCAAATCCAACAGCTCAACCCAGAGAGCAAGGAATGGGAGTCGGGGTCATTTCTCTGGTTTGGTCGTGTTCTCTTCTAGAAATGGTGCCTTGACATGTAAGCAGCAGGCCCTGTTTATGACCGATTTTGCCAGATTAAAAAAGCAGTAATGATTATTGAGTGCCTACTGGGTACCGGGCACACTTGTGGGCAGGCACGTGTCTGCCAGGTTAACTCTCTCCTTTGAGTTAACTTTCTCCAGAATTGTCCCCCTGTGTCCTTTAATAGTAGAATGCTGGAGTTTAAGCTATTCCGATCACACACACATGCACACACACACACACTTCGCACACTGTGTCCGTGTCTGCACAGGGAGGGCTACTGGATGAGCTGTTGTGTTTGGTGCAGAAATTGTTAGACTGACTCTCTCCACAGCTGAGCCATGTGCTCTTGGGCCAGCTTCGGTCACGTTTGCTTGGAGGGTACCGCAGACCGGCCTCGGCGTACCTTCCTTTGTTTGGGGTTTCAGGCGGGCGCAACCTAACGGGTAGAATTATTCAATAGAAATGTCATCATCTGCCATTGCATTTCCCAGAGAGAAATCCTTGGAAAGGCAACTTGCAGGATTCATTTTGTTTTCACTGACCTAATTTAGCTTAATTAAAAAATAAAATGAAGACCTTAATTGAGGCACAGAACAACTACCACGATCTTTTCAGTAATCAAATGTCAGGGCCAGATATCCCCACGCCAGTGATTGCACTGTGCCTTATGTCATTCTTGTTTCAAGGTCTTAACACATATTGTCTCCAGCAATAAGGCTTTCTGATTGAAAATCTACAGCAGCATCATTAGAGCATTCACTGTATAAATTAATTTAATTAAGGATGTAATAACAGAGAGGAATACAGTTTTGAAAAAGCTCTTAAATTTTAACAGCAAGGAGGAATCCGTGGAATCTAAATGTCTTGTAAAATATTAATTGTGAATTTCTTCCAGACATTTTCTCTGAATACGCCTTTCTCCATTCCTTTTTAGAATCGCTGCCGGTTTTATTAAATGCAGTTTATATTAAGGAGTTATTGCCCTAAGAGAACATTTGCTGGGAGCACTCCATTTTGACGGCGGCATGCTGAAAGGTGTTTTATAATAACATGCAGTGTAAGCAGGGACTACACGTAGATCTGAGATATAAAAACAAATGAGCCCGATCCCATAGGAGGAAGCCGTAAATAAAAGGGCCCCTTGGGACAAGTGTGCTCACCCACACGAAGTGAACGAACCCCTTCCTGGCTTGCCCTGGAGGAGATCATTTACCTGTGTGGGCAGGCGCTTTTCTCCCAGGTGGCCTTTGAGTTAACTCTCCCTAGAATTGTCTCCCCGTGTCCTTTAATGGCGGAAGGCTAGAGTTTAATATTCTTTCAGTAAACAGCGTGGCCCTCACTGGGACCAAATTCAATCTGTCCATTGTAATGCATTTCGAGGTAGTCATTTTCTTTGAACCACCTCTTCTAATTATTAATATGTTTTTAATGCCTTTGTTCTCAGAGTCATGATGGTTATTATGTTATCATTACCGTTATCATTATTTCTGTCATAAAATCTCTAAAACCCCATGTCATCATTTCATGGAGATTTCCCCCAAAACCATCTCATTGGAATCAAAGCCTAACTAGGTCAAACTAGATGAAGTGTTTTCTCAGATGAAGCTCTTTATTTAAAATTGCTATGGGGAAAAAAAAAACAGAAACAAAAACAGCTAAAACATCTGTACAAAAAGGTTTGAGTCCTCAAAATCATATACTGTGTAGAACATTCATATCCTCATTCAACAAATATTTATCGAATTTTGATTGTTTTCCAGGCAGTGTTCTAGGTACTAGCGAACCATGCCACTTATAACTGACTCACCA